GGTTGTGTTAGACCAGTGGAAGGTGAGGGGGTCGTAACCTCAAGTACCAACCGCAAAATTGGAAGGTACCAAGGCATGGCTAAGTGGCAAAGGAGGACAGACTTTCAACTACCACTGCGACTACGCACCACAGACGATTGAATGGCGCATCCTAGAGCGAGATTTCTTACTAAAATACGTCATGTTCCAGTGGCACAAGCGAAAAAATCCTTCCAGAGAAACTCCCATGCTTTCAGAACAAATCAAATTGAAGATTCTGGAAAACTGTTCAAGAAGAAAAAATTGTCAAATTTGATCGCAAATTCGAAAATCAACACAAAATTTCAGGTTGGAAATGCCAAAATTTTCCTTTACTAATTTTTCACGAAGGATTGCTTTTCCTGTCTCCAAATGATACAGAGTTATGTATTGGGCACACTAACAGTGCCCAAAAGTAGTGCGGTTACTGGCCGCTCGCGATCGATGGTACAAGAATGAAGTAAAAATTTATTAAACGAAAACACGCAAATCAATTACAACAATGCAAAAAAAAATAAAAGGGGGATCTCCCAGGACTAGGGTTGCCCTGAATACAATGAAGGAGAGGGTGCTTCTGGCGGAAGATGAGGCTAGGGACAGCCGGCCGGGGGAGCAGAGGAATCCTCGAAGGAATGACTCGGGCCCTGTGGTTCAACTTGGCTGCATATCAAAACCGAGTATCAGACGCCCTTTGCACTACGATCGATCTACCGTAACCTAAATCATTGAAATTTTCCCCGGAAACTCTTTCCAGCAACAGCCTCCCCGTGCTATTTCGTTGTATTTCATTTTTGCTTGACGAAGCTTAATGGCAGTCATCAGTTTTTCTTTTCTAGGTTATCACTAAAAAGTTGTTGAAAACAGTTGCTGGATTTCGAAAAAGGCACACTGTTAAAAAAAGAAAGAGTAAGCCCAAGTGGTCACATCGTGCGGAAATTAGTTGAAGTCACGAAATGATAAACAATTTCTTCTTGCATGCCGTAGGAAATAAAGCTGAAAAGGGCTCTGAAAGCTCCTCTTTGCTTTTTGATCAAGATTAATGCGGAATTATGAAAATAACATCCAATTTCATCAAGCCGTGCTCGAAATTAGAGTCTTCTTTCAAACTTAATCTTTTACTGGATAGTGCTTGGTGAAGTAGTGAAGAACTTCCAAGTTCGCTTCAGACGGAAAGTGAAAATGGCAGTGTTTCTTAAAAGAAACCGTGACAAAAACCGGGACATTTTTGCGAGGAAGAGTAGCCAAGCCAAGATTGGCTTGGCCGATTGTATCATTGGGAGACGCACTGTAAATAAATAAATAAAGGCAATAACAAGTAAGTGACAGATCTCGTCCCTAACCTGGTTTCGATTTGTGATAAGAGTGCCGAACAAACTTCTCTAATTGTTTGTTCTATCAAGTTGCTGTGCGTTTTTGTTCACATAATGTTTTTGTCCTCATAATTTTGACCCACCTTAGACTAATCAACCTGAACCTACCTGACCAATAAACAGCAAACCTAAATCGATATGATAATTTTGCAGGTTGACCCATCTTTGAGAGGACTGAAATTGGCCTAGTTGAAAATGGAAGCTGCCTAGTTGAGAACAGTACGAGCCCCGGCAATCTCCAGCTTCTGCTTCACCTCGATATACATATGTATATGTTTTGGTTCCCTACACGATTGGGACCGCGCCATTTCTGCACGGTTGCGGATTTACAGGGTGGCTACTAAATATTGGCGCATGGATTGTTGACCATATTTTTAAACGAGAAGCTTTTACATCTTCAGAGGTTTATCTTTATACCTTATAACATGGCAGTACATTGCTGAAGAAAGTGCTCGAAATGGCCTTCTTCGGCAGCGATACAGGCTTCAAATCTCTTCTCAACTGACATCACTGTGGGCCGCAAGTAGCTGACGTCAAGCTCCTTCCACGCCTCCTCCAAGGAAGCCTTCAGGGAGTCCAAACTTCGACGTTGCTCAGAAGGCATCTTCTGCTTCAAGAAGCCCCACACCGCCAAATCAATTGGTTCAAATCGGGCGACTTAGATGGCCAAACATTTTGTGCCCGGTAACTTGGAAAATGACGGTCACAGTTCTCCAACATTGATTTTGCGGCATGTGGAGGCGCCCTGTCTTGCTGAAGAATGCAATGACGTTCGCTGAAGGTCAAAAGAGTCCTTGAAAGAAGGGCATTACGTGAAAATTGTTTCCGGGTAGATCTGGGCGCTGGCTTTGATGTATTCATCCACAAAGACAAGCGGTGTCATGGTTTCAGAAGTAATTCCTGCCCAAACCATGACAAATTTGAAAAACGGTTCCTTGTGTACACAAGGTCGAGCAGAATGTCTGCTAGCCAGATCCAACAACTGCCTGTCGTTTTGCAAATCGTGCGCCACTTCTGGTCTGAAGATCTACTCACGTCACGCCGACGTCAGCTACTTGCGGCCCACGGTGATGTCAGTTGAAAAGAGACTTCAAGCCTGTATCGCTACCAAAGGAGGCCATCTCGAGCACTTTCTTTGGTAATGAATTTTCATGTTTTATTGTATATGAAAATAAACTTCTGAAGATATGATAGTTTCTCTTTTTGGAAATATGATCAATAAACCATGCGCCAATATTTAGTAGCCACCCTGTAGTGTACAACAAGCCCTTATTCTTGTACATAGAAAATGCGGCTTTTAGACGTGAGGTTTTAGAGGCCTCTCCTACATTTTCTCCAGAGGCAAATGATCGACACAGACTCGTTTCAGGACAAAATCTGTGGCTCATAGACGCATAGCATAGCTTCAGCAAACCCTTTTTGATATGCGCCACGCACCCACTTTCACTCGTTTTCGTAGATTCATTGGAAGACGATTTGATTTGAAAGGTATGCGATGGTGTAAAACTCGATGGTTCCATCGTTTTAGACGTGTACAGCACCAAATAATTGAATTTGAAGGGAGACAAGGCCTGCTCGATCTCAGCGAGATTCAATCTGAAATTGCTCCCTTGCCACCCCCCCCCCGGCCGCCCCCCCCCCACCCCGCGCCCCGCCGCCCCCCCCCCCGCCTCCCCCGCCCCCATGGTGCCGCCCCCCGGCTTGCACAATTACTCAAAACTATTGAATCAAGCTCCGCCTGCAGGGTGAGGGTGAAAACAATCACACTACTTCGCCCAAATTATTTTAACACATTCACGCCGATGGCCGCCCATATGGCATGCCCATATGCCAACTGATAATCGCTTGCCAGGCGCTAGGAATGGACAGATAGGTGGGCAAACCTCGTAATCGAGTGTAAAATGCTTTTAAATTCCTTCACGGGGAAAGTGAATAAATGCTCTCTTTTCGTAACCACTATTTGTCGTTCTGATCGAAATCCTACTGTTATATGTTTAGATAATCTTTACGCATTGGACATTGCAGAAATTATTTTGTGACATTCATGTTTTTGTTCATTTACAAAACAAAATCTGCGGTTATGTGGTGAGGCGGCGGCGCCCACAAAATCGCGTCCGTCCCACGCGACCGAAAAGTGGAAAAGGGGTCGTCGTGAATGTGTAAAGGGCGAACTCACTTTGGCATGCGTCCGTCGCTCCCACTGAATGCCAGGCGTGTGGTGCTACCAAAATTAACTGTGCAGAACACCTTTGTATCTTCATGTCCACCATGAAACGCCTTGCCAAAGAACATTCATTAGGAAGATAGACAGGAAGACACATCACCCCGGGATTCAAAATACTTAGGCAAGAAACCAGGCTTAGACCTAGCAAATACTGGGTCTTCAAGCCCTGTAGCGAAAGATCCGGGAGGTTTGGCATATATCATACGAGAATTCATAGAAAATTTTACTCAATGACCTACCACTCTTTCTTCTGCCGCATGGCTAGGATCTTCGAGAAGCTTCCACCCGAAATATTCGGGACAGTGAATGGTAAGACCTTCAGGAAGAATTTATTAAAACTCAATCTTACGGATGTCATTAGTTAAGTGGTCTAATTGTGAGCTCCATTTAGAGATCGTTACAGTGGACTCTCGCCTTTCTGATTACAACATCGGATCCAACATATCACGATATCGCGGTTACCAGGCGTATTAATATTGTTCTTCGGATGCAAGGCTTCATATTTCGATTATCTATTTTTCCTTTAGGTAATTGTGTTTTTCCCGTTGTGCTTTGTGCTTGTTTTACCTTCTTTAATTTGGTATAATTAGTATTGGAGTGGTCTAGTCATGAGGATCGGGACCCTGCATTAGTTTTTATACTCACGATCAGTCAGAATATTCCGCCCGTTCATTTAACCCTTCCTTTCCAGAAGGACACACCTCAGAAAACTTTTCTGTCTGCTAAGTATGTGACCTCCACTTACAAGCCTTTGGAAGTAACGTCTCTCTGCTGGAAATCCACGAGTGGCATCTGGTCCTTACCTGACCTGCCTGTTCCACGAGGGTGTCGGTATACTCGTGTCCCGAAGTTCAGGCAGGCTTCCCATTGCACCTATAGTAGTGCTATGGGCACCATTGCCGACTGGTGCAGGTAAGGTACCTGGATTCCACTCAAAGTCACCCAGGTTCCGAGAGGTTTTCCTTGGTTCCTCGTTAGCGGATCAGCAGTGCTAATTTTTCCTCGTGCTGGTGCTATCCCTTTGAATACAGGAAAGGGAATAGGGTTACAGGAGTCCTTTTATACTGTAGTTTTAATAGTTCCGTGAAGATAATAGGGCTACCGTCCTCATTGACTAACCACAGTGTTTTCTATTGTTAGTTTCTTTATAGGCGCGTCAGCTGCACGCATGAATAAATAAATAAATAAATAATTATAAACAAGCATATATGCTGTGGTGTTTTGGAAGCAGACCCTGCGGTGAGTGTTGTATGAAGCAACAATTTATTTGTTAGTGAGCCTCTGGTATTTGCTTCGCAGCAGGCTTTGCCGTTTCTGGTTCTTCTCTTACGATAAACACTTGTCTAGGGAGCTTCGGTTCATCCAACAGAGCCTTCTCTAGCAATCGCTTACGGAGGTTTGGGATGTCCCAGAGAGCTCTCTCTATCCATTCCCTTATGCATTGTCGGTACGTCACTCTGAAATCGAGTCGATCATTAACTATTACATGAGTAGACTATGTTTCCCACGTACCTTGCTAATCTGATCATACATTTCATCTCTGAGTAAACGATGAAGGGACTTCTCGACCTGTAAAAGGTGTCTGTTTCAGAACAGTAAAAAAAAGTCGGCTGCGGTTTTCTGAGCAAATGTGGTGTACTGGCTAGCAGCGCCGCGCACCGAATCCCCATGGTTTCATCTTTTCTATGTCAATCAGCTAGCAGTTGACCTTTTTGTAAAATAGAAACAATCAGCTGCACATCACCCGCGCTCTGCAAATAACGGCACTATCGTATATAAGGGGCATCCTGTGGATCCAGCCTATGAGAGGGCAGGAACGCCGGGAGAAATGAAAATGGCACCGCACTCTGCAGTCTATTCGTCCACGCCTGAGGTCTAGTCCCGTTTCCAGCAAATAGAACAGGATTTACGCGGCTTTAGAAGCACCGTCACAATGACCCCGTTTCTTGCAATAGCCCCAAATGGCTATTAGGTTGTGTTAGGGTCCTGAGACGATTGTGAGGTTCGCATTACTATCAAAATATTGGATCAAACAACGGTATGATCTCCTTCAGTCCAGTGGAGCAACAGTATGGACAAATTCACTTCTTGCTCTGAGAAGGAACAGCTTCGCGAATCCAAAAAATTAAGTAGAGAGGTTTTGAGAACATTAAAATCAGAGGATAGACGGAGTGGGCCGATACGAGCGATAGCTAAAAAAAGCGCCTACAAGTTGGTGACCATATCCTTCGCAATATAGCAGGAGGGTTGTCATGTAGAAGGACGGAGACCTTATTGTTTCTGCCGGGTGCGTAGACGTGGTTCTAAAGCTCGATGCTGTAGGTGACAACAGTGACCGTCTGGTCTTGACGGAGCAGGTCGTCACGCATGATTTTCTTCAAGTCAACTGCACAGGCCAAGACTTTAATGAGCCTCGTATCGAGACAGCCCAGGCAATGGTCGCGGTATCTCCTCTGGAGACATTGCTAACACTGAAGGGGTACACCAGGAGCTGGTGCAGTATTGCTGCTCCCAGAAGAGAAAGTTGCGAAGGTACTATCTTCGAAGCGATTCAGCGTATGAGCGCATAAGCGTAAGGTGATCTACTGATATTTGCTGAACACTATCACCAAGAACGCTTCAGGATCCGATGACGACACGAAGGTAGCCCTGATATTTCTGAACGAACTACGACCCATGAAATTTTCTGTCTAACATCAACCTAATGAGTGCGCCTGATATGAACTCATGCGGCTTTACGATCCAACTCGAAGGCACAACTCAGGAAACACGTGGGAACAATCCGTTTAACCTGCACGATAAATTCCCATAGAAAATCACAGATGTGACTCTCCCATCCATGAAAACCTCCCGAACAAGGCAATTTTCCTTAAGTTCGCAGCAGGCCGCTGTGCGGTGCCATCTTATGCTCCTTTGCGCGCTCAGCCATTGACTTACCACAGCCGCATCATGGAGGTGAGAAGCCTTCAATTTGAGCATTGCCAACGGGTCCTTCTCATTTTTATATTGCCGGCCCTTTTCACACAAACACATTCATATGTGTGCAAAAATGACACCAGTTTGATCTGAGGACGTGCCTTCGATTAAGGAACCATACCAGCTAAATAAATATAAGCATTAGATAAAAGGAAGAAATCTATGGAAGTGATCAGATATTCCCCGCGCAATGTGGCGCCGCTAGCCACTGGTTCACCATTTCGTATGTAAAGCACTGACCGCATGTCTCTGCTCCAGCAACTCTACAACTTCAGGTTTTTCCTCTTCCTCGAACTCTTTGATTCGCTTGACAGTACTCTCAAAATCTTGTTTGGGAGTGAGTAGTCCATCAACAAAAGCTTTCGATATTGCTTCTTCCATTTGCCAGTTTCTTCTCAAGTCCTCAGTGATCCTTGTCGAAATATGGCTTGAAAATGAGTATGTTAGGAGAACATGAAAATGTGCCGTTAGCGTACCCTCTCTAAGATCGTTCTTACCTTGACATGATGCTGCCTCGCCCATTTATTGGCTTCTCGAATAATTTTCGATTTTCTTTCTGTCTGCTGTGTTAGGATTTCACCCAACTGATTGAATATCTTCTATGGTCAGGTCTCTGTTCGCCAGGAAGTAGCGGATTAATTTGCCTATTTCCGAACCAGCGGCTTTTACAATTTTTTCACGGGTGACGTATTCGGCATAGGTGACAACGGTAGTAAAAAGCAGAACGGTTATGACAGCGTTCATGCTGGAAGAAACGAAAACATAGATTAATGGACCGCGTTATCGACTTACTTATACATATACACATATATTGTAACAGCTCACAAAGAAATAGGGTGCATTTGTTACAAGTACTCTTCATATACTGAATGGAACACTCTTTGTTAGTCCCCTATAATCTCAAACAAAAATTCCTAGTCAACCTTTGCTCGAGGAAAACCCTGGTTTGGTCGCTAGGAAGCCACTTCCCACAAGATCGTCAGACGATTTCCTCCACTGCGAAAGACATCACTCATCAAATTGAGCGGTGCACATTTACCTGGAGGCAGTGAGCACGATTGTTGAAGGGTGGTTGTGGTGGTTACACGAGATCACTGCAGGTCATCTTTACCAGGCCCCTATGCCCTGGCGGTCGTTAAGGGGACAACGCTCACCACTCACGATGGCATATAGTACCGTTGCAAGAGCAAAACCTGTCACCGAAAAAATCCTGAAAAGATTCCAAGGGGCCCAGAAAGCATACCCCAACCCCGTCAAATGCACCGGACCTTTTTAAAACCAGATCCAGAAAATCAGTACACAGCGTTACCGTTTGCGAGAGAACCTGAGGACCTTGGGAGGCAATTGCAAGGAGATTGAAATGTGACAGCCGAGGCTGATGTGACGAACGGCGATCAGGGGCTCCTTTATATACCATCCATGAACCCGCCATTTTTAGCTGTAATTCAAGGTAACATTTCGAAATCACAAACCTGGCCTTTCAGCCGTAATTCAAAGTAATTTCACATTTCAAAACCACAAATCGCATCTTTTTAGAGCGAGTTTGTATTCTTTGCCGATCCACCTAATCGTCCCAGGTATTTTGAGGCCTATATCGTGATTTCTAAACAGAAGGAAACGAAATTATTCAACGCGCATCAAATTTTGACAAATTTCAGCCACTTACCATTCAACAATACCGCTTTCATTTGCTCACGTCAATCCTTGGCTTGCAGTACAATTCCGGCCTGTCTAGAAAGCTTTGCAGAAATGAGATTGCTTTCGAGAAGCATTCACTGGAAGTTATCGGTCACAAGTTCATTGAGGTAAGAATCAGAAGTTCTCGCAAGACCACTCTTAGGAATTAGATTCTCCAAGCAATTTCTTTGACTGAGACTTCCTTAGGTGAGGCTCCCTAAGCGCAGTATTCGTAGCGCTAAGGTCTTCGCTTAACCGCTGCCCTTTTTACTCGCCTGCAGTATATGCGCATCCAAGGCGCTTTTTGAACCGGTGTCAGACTTTGCGAATCCACGATTAGCTCCTGGCGAATCACTCGATTTGCAAAGTCTAACAGCGGCCTAAGGAGTCTGACACCGTCTTTACGCCGATCGTTCACCTATTCCCTCTTGTCACTTCCCTATTCCCCTTCATCATAGCCGACTTTAGGTGAAGGACATCCTCAGTTCTAGTGTTTTCCATGTCCCTTTTCCCTTTTCGCCTTGACAACTCCTCTACAATACCGCTACTAATTTTTGTTCAATCGACGAAATGCGACGCAGTCAGTCCGTCGCAACCGTCGCCTCGCCATAACTCGTGAACAAATGGATTAGGTCATTCGAAAGTTATACCACTGGATAGCTCTGCTCACGAAGAATCCAACGGTTTAGAGGACTATTGAGTTCCTCTGAATTTTCCGCTTCATTTTCATGAAATTTATCAAATTACCTAAAGCTGACTCATTAGCGAGCGTCGCTCGCTCTACAGGGTGGGCCAATTGTGAGGACTAACAAGGAAAGGCTCCCAGGTCGCCATGGCCATTCAAGAAGAGATGTGCCTTTGAACGCTGATCTCAAATCTACCTTCCAAATCTGCTAAACGATTCTCTGAACGGAGTTATGAAGCAAAACAGCGCAACGGTAGTGGTCGGGATTTGCAGTCAAAACGTCGTAGGATCGGCCCTGATCGCGTTTACTGTCTTGCGTTCTTCAGGAATTAGCTAAATAGGCTATTAAAAGCCTTTTAGCTGTACTCCTGAAGAATGGCAAAACAGTAGACGCGATAGGGGCCGATCCTACGACGTTTTGACTGTGAGTCCCGACCACTACCGTTGCGCTGTTTTGCTTCATAACTCCGTTCAGAGAATCGTTTAGCAGATTTGGAAGGTAGATTTGAGATCAGCGTTCAAAGGCACATCTAGCGGTATACATCTCTTCTTGAATGGCCATGGCGACCTGGGAGCCTTTCCTTGTAAGACATAGTGTCGTTAAAAACGCATATTAGCTTGATGGAACAAACAAACTTCACAGGAAGTGTTTGTAACTCTTATCTCAAAGTAATTCCAGAATAGAATTGAGATCTGCCACCTGCCCCGTTTACACGAGCCTTCAGATGAAGGGGATGGCGCGTGCGGTGGCACGCAACTGAGGCGTGTCAAAATGTTTCCAGGCCTTCTGCTCTGCTTTCTTCAGGGAATCAAAGTTTTGTGGGGCATTTATTTGCGCTTGCATCCAGGGTGTGAAATACAGAAATCTAGAGCTATTAGGTGGAAGGTTCCATTGTAACAATTCTTCGAAAGCAACGAACTCGAAAAATCGCTTTTTAGAGAATTTTTGCTTTATTCTTGGGTGCTCGGTCCTGTAAAAGTTCCCAAGTAGACTACTCGAGTGGCTTTCTATCCACTACAGTCTTTAGAGTGTCTGGCTGGGTTTTCACATCAATTTTTTCATTTTGGGAGTACGAAAGTCGACAAGGGGAGACCTAGTTTCTGCATCTGATAATTATCCTGGTGGTAACTGTAACTTTCGAGTCCCCGAATTTTCCATCTGTGGTGGTTCCAAACTTATTGAAGAGTTGAACTGTTGCTCATAAGAGCTTCCTGATACGTTAGACTGCCGCTAGATGTAACGTGCCAGAGCCCCTAGTGAGTTCAATTTGAGGACTGACTAAGGTGATGTAGTTATTTCACTAGTTTTGAGAACTGCATGAAATTTGGTTTCATTAGGAAGAAGACATTGTACCCTTTCACATAGTGCACAGAAAAAAGGAAAATGGAGCGATCGGAAGGAAAGTGGATATGACTGCGGCAGCGGTTCTCATAATTTTGGCCCACCCTGTATTATACCAGAGGGGAACAGATATTAATAGTAGTATTTAGCGAGTAATAAAGTTATTACTCCTATGTAAAGTGAAAAAGAGACTGTTGTGTTCTTCAGATGGTGCTCGTCATTTTGATACCGAATTCATCCCAGGTGGGTCAGATTTGTTGAATGTCATTTTACATGGAAAAGCTCCTTTGAGCCAAAGTAGAGTACAGATCTAGCTTGTCATTTAATGTTACTTTTCTATAGAGCTCCTTTGTACGAAAGTTTTCGAAGTTCCTACTACCGCGGCTGTCAATTCGAGGCCCTTGTCGAGCAAATTCACATTTTTTCATGAAAGAAAACGAAACGAAAACCCTTCGGCGGCAATCGCACCACTCGGGGGTGCTCTGTCCGGGTGTGCACCTTTAGTCTAAAGTGCAATTATGGGGATACCACCTCGCACCTACACTCCTGCCTGTGGGAAGACCTTGTTAATTGCACTGAGTTGTCTGCTGACCTCTTCCTCTCAGACTCAGTATCGATCATATGAATAATGAACTTTATCACATAAACACGTGTTAAAAAAGGGGATTAAAAAAAGTAAAGAAACAAAACAGGAAATACAAAAACAGTAAATATCAAAAATTAAATAAAGTAAATTTAGTTAATTTGTTAAAAGCAAGACATAGAAGAATTTTAGGGAAGCATTTTAAATTCAGATATTTTTCTCTGTGCTAGTTTGACTAAATTCATTTCGTGTTCTTAGTGTAGCGTAGAAAACTGCACATTTTCATTTATGACTTTATATATTTTGGTGGAACAGAACATTATCTTGGGTGAACAAAAAAGCCAACAGCAATGATTTTTTTTGGCTATAGGTTCAAATCAAATACTCAAACACTTTTCATTGACATATTCCTGGCTTGTGTTTCAGTTACGTATGGTATTAACTTGACTTCACCTTTTTCACTGTCATTTTTGAGTCCGTGAGGGCATCGCCACTCTCCAACATTTTTTAGCTGGGGCTCCTAGTTCTGGTCAGTTCAACAGGTGATTCTAATGTCTTGGCAAAAAACATCCCGGCCAGCCGCAAAATTCCATGCTAGTAATTTTTTTCAAGCATTGCGATGCTTTGGCTGAAGCGAATTAGAAGTTCCTCAAGTCGCTCTTGAAATGGAAATATTCAAAAAAAGAGGAAAAAGGGCTGCCGCACGGATATGTAGAATCACTATCTGGGGCTCTACTTGGAACAGAGCCAAATTTCGAAAAACCCTCGACGAAACTCTCGTGCAATCGAGGACATACGGTTTTGTAATTACCATTCATCAGGTTGGCAAAGCACAACTTGGCTGACAGGAGATTTTGTATTGTTCAATATGTGCAACAGCGAGCCTGTAAATTGACATTCGAAATTAAAATCGTACCCTCGGTCAGAATCACCAATTGGTAAAAAAAATAGGAGAGGTGCTGAAATAATAGTGGGAATTTTCTTTGGTATTAACCTGTATCACTTCTCTACAATAAACATTTCCTGACCGAGAAAAATGGCTAAAATTGAGTGAACAACCTAACATAAACTCTTACATTTTGTGAGAGAACGATTTTGGTGTCTACGGTTTCTTAACTTAGTATGTCTGTACGAGGTCAGCAGACAGCACAATCAAGTGAGGTCACTCCGCAGGCGATCGCTAGGAGGCATAAGGTGGCAGGTGCGAGGTAGTGATTA